AGTGTCTACACCTGAGTGAGTGAGTGAGTGACACATTTGCATATCGGAGTCCCCGCAACAAACACGTTTCTACGCTTCGCGTATCCACGAGTTTAAAATAGAAAACTTTGTCTACTCACCAATTCGCGTCACTTTGAAGAGCATGGGAAAACGAGTCTGCAATGTCATACGCCCAGTCAGTGGTTAGAAATCGTAGTGATTGATAATGCTCCGTAACGCTGTGCTTCTGCTAGTAAATTCGCATTTTTTCCCTCCGTTTTGACAACCAACTCCTTCTTACGAACATTGACAGGTTTGACTAACCGAAAGTCTACCGACAAATCAATCGTGACTAATCTTCACATATTTTGTTCCTCTCAATCGTACAGTCGGTCATTCGGGCATTAATCGGGAAGCAATCTTCGCACATCCGAAGTTTGATTAAGTACGAATATTCTTTTGTTACACATTTTCGGTTAACGGACACGCTCGATCACATAGAATCTACGGCCCTCCGGCCGTAGATTCAAAAATGATAGGTCACCATACTCGTTTGCGAGAAAATGACGATTTACCTCTATGGCGAGGTCCAGCTGTAAAGAAAAAGCCACCATTTTTTAATGCGCGCGCGCTTATTACGCGTGAAATTATGCACAGTAGGGATTCGCAATGCAATACTGGGGAATGACCTTAAGTATTCTCTAGCCGCCAATATAATGCAGTAATGAACACAAGTGAATATATGAAAGATCATAATAAGATCATCATGTGATAATACCGTTTCAAAATCGCATTTTGTTTAATAAATTCCTTGATATACTATGTGAGTCGTAATTTCTAAAATCTTGGAAAAATTGGGCATGCTTTATTTGATAGTAACCATTTTGTTAAGTTTTTAACTCGAAAAAAAAAATTGTGAAGCCCCACGCCGAACAGTTAAATGCTCTTAATTGATCATTTTTTGCGTATCTTTTCCATGAAAAACAAATCCTCTTTTAGTTTATGGTTAAATTATTACAATCAAAAGCTCCGCTTGTAGGCTTGGCTAAATCTATGTATTTCTTCTTAAAATATCCGGTCGCATAGTATGATATATATCCTGTGTGTATTATTGTAATAGATGCGTAATTTGGAAACATACTTGTTCCAGGGACTGGAGGTCGCATTTGTGTGCGTTCTCTTTCAAAGAAAGCACAAGAGCATCAAAGACATCCATGGGGTACTCCAATTCCGGGCTGTATGGTACTGCGCTGAAAGGAATTTCGTACGGCAGGTGCCCTCTCTTCAGTCAATAACGGAAAGGAAAAAAAAAAAGCAATAAATCACGAATAATGACACAAAAAGATATGATCATGGAGAAAAACAAGGTATAGAATAGATAAAATAAATAAATAAATAATTTCATAAACCAGATATAAAATAAATATAATTAAATAATTAAATAATTAAATAATGCGTACAGCTCGAATATAAGGCCTTTTTTGTGATATTTACTGGAAACTCTATAGTTTGGTTTGGTTGAATAGTAGTCTAGAAATTAGTAATTATATGCAGAGTGCCCATGCATTCTCCACAATAGCGCTTCCATACATGCTCTGTAACTTGTATTAGAACTAGGGATCTGAAATCAGTAGCAGCTTTCAAACAACCATTTTGTTTTTGGATTAAATAGACCTTATCACCTTTTTTTGACGCCACCTTGACGGGTAGGCAAAGCGGTCAGAAATTACAGTGTTTGTATGGGAATCCGATGACAAATAACCTTTTCCAAACTTGAATTTTACACAGTTTGTGAATCGCAACGTTAAAATACTAGGTAGACTTGTCTTTACCAAGTTTGAAGGATGTCGTTTGGCCAGAAGACGCTCAGTCAAGTTTTAGAATTTTCCATATATTCGTCTGTATTTTTTTTCCCGCAAACCGCGTCTACCCAGTCAAATTTACAGACAAATGTATGGAAAATTAGAAAAAATTAAGTCTGGTTCTCATATCCCGCCGACCTACCTGCGACGTAGTCGTCGGTTGCAACTGACAACGTTCGGCGATCTGTCCCGGTGTGTCCCCGGCGCATCTGCGATGGATCGCCGACGTTCTCAAATATGCTCGAAATGCAAATCGAATTGCACAATTTTCAACCATTTTACCTGTAAATATGGATCGAATTGTCTCACTGGAGTACGTTGCGTCCGCAGATGATGTTCACATAAAATATTTTCATCGCCGACAACCACCGGCTTGCCTGCGAAGTTGAACTCAGCTCAACTTCGCAGGCAAGCCGGCGGTCAATGCCTGGGATAAATTATGATTCTGCGATAAATGTTCAAATATGCCGTAACGGTGTTCCAGGTATGTCGGCGGCATTTGAGAACTAGGCTTCAGCTGAGCGCCTTCAAGCCAAGCTACATCCTTCTAACTTGGTGAATACAATCTTCTACCTAACATTTTAACGTTGCGTTGAAGTTTGGAAAAAGTTATTTGTCATCGGATAAATATATGGTTAAAAACGCTAAAATATGTATATGGCATAATAGGCGATATTTTATTTCCCATTTGACTCGAAGATGGTAGCTATCGGAACGATGCGCAATTATGAAATGTATATTTTTTGGGCTCTTCTAAAAACGTATATCAAGAGGCTGAGATAAAAATAACACGATCTTATCCAAACAAAAATATGTTGCCTTACAGCCAATACTGTCCGCCAAATTTTAATTAGATCGGTAGCTGTAACTTTCAATTACAGTTGAACCTCCCGTAGGCGACCAGCCAAAATGTCAAGCCTAGGTGGTCGCTTACGGGAGGTGGTCGCTTACGAGAGCTTACACCAAATTTGGTCAAAATTTTGTCTCATTAGTAAATGGTAACTGCAGAGACTTACCCCAAGACTGAAATGTTTTATTCATGTGATAAGTCAATTTCTAGAAAAATGCGGTATTTCCCATTGAGAAATTTCCGTCTCTTGTAATACCAAGAAATGTGATAATGTTACAACACCTTATTATCCAATTTTCGCACTATTATCTATCAAGTGGTCGCTTACGGGAGGTAAAAAAACAAAAGAAAATTTCAAACTTTTAGCTCTAAATGTGGTCGCGGTCGCTTACGAGAGGTGGTCGCTTACAAGAGGTTCCAAATATAGTAATTTGACTTGGAAACTTTTCGTATTTTGGAAAACTGGTCGCTGAGGAGAGGTGGTGCTTAAGAGAGGTGGTCGCAACCGGAGGTTCGACTGTATATGAATGATTCACTTAATCATCAGAGCATATATCAGGTCCGTTGTACTTAATTGCTTGTGTTTTTGCTACTGCCACTATGGTTGCGTGAAATAAATACACGTATGGTATAACTTTGGTGCGGCTTGTCGTAGCTGTGTTTTCAGTTTTCAATAGGCTACGGTTTAGGTCACTACTTCCGCACAGTCGGTACTTTCGGAATGTTGTATGTCTTCATTTATTTACACCAAATCCAACCATTAAGATAGTCATTAAAATTATTGCGTAATATTTGTTTCTTGTTGTTGTTTTGTGGGCAGAGAAATTCATCGTTCTCATATTGAGTAAACTAAATTGTAGAATTGCCTACTTATGCTGCCTCCTTTTCGAACAGTAGCTGTGTTCTGTTGCCATGTTGGCATTGAACGTAAAGTGTTCTACACTTGCCGTAAATCTTAAGAATCCAACGCATTTTATTCATGACTATACTTCGATCATGACGTGAACAGAAAATAATTTGTTCCTACTAATTTTTAACGATATTCTTGCTCAAAAAAGGTCCTATAAAAAATAACTGGTACTGACTTTAAAGGCTGTCATTTAAAAATAAGGTTACAAGAAGTTTTTCTTTACCTTTGCTCTTGAGGCATATTTTTCGCCCATTTCTGGAGCACGGTCGATCATATTTTTAGTTATGACCTTAAACAACGCAAGTACTGCTTCTTTTGTTTCCTTCATCTCTTCGTAGGCTGTCTGTTAGGAAATAGAAAGAAAACGCAAATAAGGTAAGTGGTTAGTGTTTGTTTGTGACAAACAAACATACAACTTTTTTCTCGTTGGTAACTCCCGTTTAGGTTCATGTCGTAAGACAGCAAAATATAACCTTTGAAATCCGGTGAAGTGAGTAGCTAGAATGCTGGCACATCTGAAAAAAGTATACGCTCGCCTTCGAGGTATTGCCCCTATCATTTTACCACTGCTTGAGATGATCCACAAGCTACACAGGCTTCAAGTTTTGTTCATGGCATTAACAAAGTGTCTCGATAATTGAATTGCAATGCTATTCAATGCGTTGCTTTGTTGTTCAAAGAATCTGATTACTCTTCCGCATGATTTTGCTTAGATCTAGAGAAGGAAATGGAATTATTTTGCAAAAGTGAATGAAAAAGTGAATGAAAAAAATTCAAAAATTTAAGGTGGCCCTGAAACCCAGGTACAGATTGTTTCAAACTTTACCAAAAGTTGCGTATTGTTCTGCTTGCCAAAATTTGTTAATATAAAAAAGAATTCACTGTCCCCTGTTCAATTCAAATGTAAAGTCTGTCTTGCTGTATGGAGCTGAGAACTGGAAAATGAACAAGAAGGAGCAAAAGATGCTGGACGCATTTCAGAACAGGTGTCTGAGACGGATCTTGGGAGTGTGGTGCCAAGCAGAGCACATCTCAAACGAGACCTCTACAAGAGGTCTGGAGTTCCCTCAGTCAGCAAGAAAGTTAAGAAGAGCGATCTTGATGGATTGGTCATGTTTTGAGGATGCCGCCCGGCGACGATTCTAGAATAGCATTGAGCTGGCTTCCCATGGGGAGGAAACATGTTGGAAGGCCAAGAACGACTGAAGAATGGCTGAGAAGGAACGGAGTGAGGAGTCGGAATGGAAGAGTTTGAAGGAGGCTTGCCAAGTGGCTGTCAACCGGAGCGAGTGGCAAAGAATCGCTGAAGCGCTATGTGCCACCTAGGCACAGATAAGATAGATGATGATGAAAGCTAGAATTAAGGGTGTTTGTAGCAGGTCATATTGTTGCTATAGTAACCTATTGTGTCACGAAAATGATTACAACGTGTTCAACATCGTCCTGTCTGCGGTGTGTTCGTTATTTCACCTAAGTGTGTGTATCACGTCACTAGAGCTAGTCATTAACAAAACCAACGAACGGAATTCAAACAGAGCGACTTATTTGACTAACAACAAGCGATTAGAAATTCACTAAAACGCCCACAACTGACCAATGATCGTTAACGAACAGTCATTTATATAGGTAATAATATCGCTTCAAATATTTCCTTACAAATTGCTTAAAGGGTCTGAAGACTTAGCAGGTTGCGTGTTTTACAATACTGACGTCTATTGTGACAAGAACGCTCGCTTTCTAGTTTTATCCATGAAATGGAGACTTCTGGAAGGTTTGTTCCAGTTTCTGACGATAACATTTTATTGCCCGTTTTATTGGAGAAAACAAAAACAGAAGTACTGTGGGGAAAAAATCTAATTAGACTGCTGGAAGCCTGTTTTCTCTCGAAATCTGTCAGGGATTATGAGGCGAGACATTCAGACTTGCTCTCAACCCCTTTTTCGCCCACACCACCCTTTTTCGTTCGTGTTCACCGATAAACAATCGTCTGACCCTAGCTGAAAAGACCGACTGCCAGCAGACTAAAATCTAATGAATACCCAGATGAACATACGGTGGGAGAGGCGACGAATTGGATACAGCTCTCAGATGTTTTAAAATAGTTTTTGTTAGCAAAGGATTACTTTGTGATTACGAAACTTTCAGTAGCTAGTGTTTCGCTTATTCCTCAGTGAAATTTGGTTTTGTCAACTGTTTTTCCAGGTCATTTGATATTCCTGGTTTTGATTGTCACGCCACAAAAATATAAGGAAGTCAAGACTTTGAAATTTTATAGACGATTAATTAATGAGCGTGTCCGAGTCTCAACTCTATAAAATATTTTGTACTCAAGTTAACGTTATCCGTCACAGTTTCACTCATATTATTCCGACTTAAAAAAAAAAGCGCGTTTACTTGGAATGGATCACGTAAGCTAATTAAAATATCAGCAGATTAAAAGTATGGCTATTTTAATCTGCTCATAAATTGATGGGCTTTTTCCGTAATCCACTCCCAGGAAACGCGAGCGCGAAAGGCAAGCATGTATGTACATTTCTCACGTCGCTTTCATCAGCATTTAACTGGAGTTGTCCTCCAAACATAAAAGTGAAAAAGATTCCCACTTAACAAAAAGCCGTTTATTTTGTGCAATGAACTGAAAAAGCAATTTGCCGCAACTAATTTGTGAGCGGTCCATCTTAGCGGTCTGTGTTGCAATTAAAATTCGGATCACTCATAATTCTCCTTTTCAAAGCGAACCAGCTCAGCCATATAATAAGATCTTTTAGTGTAGGCCGAGTGCTACCCATTTAAGAACTTCTGCCTGAGACACCGGGGCAGACTTGGAAATGAAGGTCGGCCGGTTTTCGCTTAAAGTTGGTACACAAGGTTGTTATGTGGACTTATGCAATATGGCAAAGTTTCAGGTTCAACGACCTTCTTTTAGCCGAGTTCTGGACATCAGCCTCTCAAGGGGTCCCCAGACGCTGATTTTCAGTGCAATTTTGGCCAATTTTCAATCTCTCCTTTAGCAACGTACAATTTATTTCAGACAAAAAAAAAACCATATTTGTAATGCCCTATTTTTAGGCTTCTATGGGTAGAAACATTAGATCACGGGAATTTTTCGTTAGCCCGTGGCTGTTATCACAATTTGGTCCTGTCTGAAGCATATGGGAGGCAACCGGAAATGGCCTGTTTTTCAGACCACATATTTTCCATGCCCATGTTTTATATCGTGAAGTCTTAGTATCCCTGCAAAGTTCAGCCGTTAGTTTAGTAATATCAAGAAAAAAATACTAAGGTTGAGGCTTTTTTACTACGAAACACTTAAAGAGAAATTACCTACTACGCACTTCTTTCCAAAGTCTTAATTCCTTATTAGGAGAGATTTTTAGACATTAGCCGCAAAATTAACGTACAATTAACGATCTCGAAGTGAATTATCAAAAGGAAATATATATTTTCAAACCATAGACTAGAAATTAATTTTCCTACTGACAGATTTGAAACTAAATTTTATGCAGCTTTTGTACCCTGTACCCTAGGGAGTGGAAGGTGATGAGGGGGAAACTTTAAACGTTGATAAATATAACAAGAAAAGTAATCAAAATACAATGAAACAAGTTGTTTACTGAGTGTATAAGTTAGGTGGGAAAAGCTGAGCCCAAAAAAGTCTTATTTATGGGACTCTGCCTTGTTTCCATGGCAATCTTGTTTTGTCAGGCATAATTACCCTAAGTTTAAGTTTTCTCATCTCATTCCCTGTTTTTATTGACGTTTTCAAGTTTCTTTGGACAAACATAGTTTTTTGCACCTTTTCATTCCTTTAGTACCCTTTCTCTTCTCTTTTAATTTTGCTATAATTGGCAAAAACGATATTTTGACTTCATAGAATAGTGATGAAATCCAGACTGTTGGATTCAATATGATGGATGTTTTGGAATTTATGAGATTCTAACGTCAAGTGCCTTCATAGCTTCATTATTCACCATTATTAGAATTTTAAACCTTGAGTTTTTTTTTTCTCCTTCTCCCTGCCAGAAGATCACAAATGCCTTGTGTGACTAGTGGTACTGTAATTTTCGACTTAACTACGACACACCCAGAGGTGCTTTCCTTCAAGCTTCGGTCTTTGCTTCTCTTTGGTGTCGATTCTAAATACGAATACCATCGTTATGATAGAGATTGTAAGTAAGTAAGCCTCGTGATACGATAGGGGGCTAAATTACTTCCTATTTTCGCCTGCAGATTACATTGTTTGGGCATGACACGCAAAGCGTCTCCGCTGTGATTTAATATTGGGCGTGTAAAATTACTTAATTCATCTCCAAGCCCTTTCGACTTTTCAAGTGAAACAACATTTAATATGCTCTGCCTTTGAAGCACACTCAAACGAAACAAATTCACTTACAGACTGAATAGATTTAATAACTTTAATTAATTGATCGCAGATAGTTTCTTTTCTTGTAAATAACAATCCAGCCTGCAAGATGTCCACGTGCTGGCCATATATTTATTTCGCAGTTGCATTTCATCAATTTACGACAGACTGAAGTAAACCTGTAACGTAGTAACGCAGTCGGATTCTATACAAAACTGGCTACTGCCTAGCGCATAGCACGGTCGCGACCTAATGGTTAGCGGGCTGGACTCCGGATCGAGCACTCCTGGTTACTAGGGCGCTGCCATGTCGTCTTGGGAAAGGCAATTTTCGTTCACAATGCCTCTCTCCACCCAGATGTATAAATGGGAGCCGGTGATTGTCATCCTGTTCAGGGAAGAAGAGCAATAACCAATTTAAGCTCCAGCAGGTATGAGGCACTGGGCCATGTGACGACTTACCTTACCACCTCAGCAAGCATACTGGTAATCCTGGGGATTATCGCTTCTTCCTATGGAAATCGGAGTTAAAGGCCAGCAATTCTACAGCTAGGGGTGCCATGAGCAGTAGTTTTTGAAGGGAAATCCACTCCTACCCTGTCTTATCTTTGGATATACGCAGTACACCGAATTAGGCTGGATCTGTACTGACTGAGAAAGCAACAAAAGGGAAATCCCGATAGAGAAAGGGAAAGTGTGCCAATGAGTAATTTTCTGGTAATTTGGTCAGACATTCAGCGACTTGGCGGAGAAAACGGACCGTCTTGAACGTCGTCAATTTATAATACCTAGGCCGTTTGCACTGGGGGACTGGGTATGAATAAACATTCAGTAACATATCCATTCGTTCTTTAGGTTCTCAAGCAAGTTCTATACCTAATTATTCTCTGCAGTATCAAGGAGACGAATCTAGACGAGAAAAAATTGAATTCCAAGTCAATCATAACCAGCAAACTACAGATAAGTTGGCCTGTCGTAGCGTCGTAATGTACGGTATGAATCAAACTGAATTTTCATTACTCGCAACAACGCATTCGCGACCAATTTATCGCTGAGGCTAAGGTTTTTAACGTTGCTTCACTTTTAAGGAATTATAAGAAAGGGGCATGCCTCTAAACCTGAAGCCAGGTATGCGTTTATAGTAAGTAAATTTATCCAGACACTTTGCATATGGACTCGAAGAGCGAGACGGCATTTTGTATTAGACAATTAGCTATAATTATATTTCAAATTTTCTTAAGGTTCAAGGCGATTTTAAAGTACTGTTACGAGAGACGTTGTAATTGCATTTAGAGTGACAAGTGGGTTATGATGCGAAATGGGTTCACAAAGCTTGGTGGCTTATTTCCTGATTTAATTAGCGCTTCATTACTCGGGGCCACAGACTTGTTTCGCTGAACGGGTTGAATAAACTTAATATTGCAGTTTGGACCAAAAAAGATGTAATGGTGCATTGTGATTAACCGGCAAGAGATGGATTGTTAGGTATGTATATGTTTTTTTCACAGTGACCCTTTATCTGTAATTTTCAAGACTTCTTCCACAAAATTTATAACCGTTTATAACCAAAATCTGATCGGTCCTCAAAAATCACATGGAAAGGTTTGATTAACGGTAAGTCTTTTCGGTTACAATTAACTTCAGAGTCTCTGATTCATGACTTAGAAAAAAAAAAAAAGGTATTAATCGAAATTAAATGGCTGATTTTTACAGACACGCTTTGTTGAAACTTTAACCGAAAGTGGCCTGGTTAGTTATTTTCTTGTAAGTTTTTTCTTGCTAAAAGAGACTCAACCTTGGTATTTTTTTTCTTGATATCACTAAACTAAGGGCTGAACTTTGCAGGGATACTAAGACTTCACAATGTAAAACTTGGGCATGGAAAATATGCGGTCTGAAAAACAGGCCATTTCCGGTTGCTTCCCATGTTTCTCAAATAGGACCAAGTTGTAATAACAGCCACGGGCTGACGAAAAATTTCCGTGAGCTAATGTTTTCACCCAGAAACGCCTAAGAATAGTGCATTACAAATATGGTTTTGGTTTTGTCTGAAATCAGTTGCACGTTGCTAAAAGAGATTGAAAACTGGCCAAAATTACACTGAAAATCAGCCTCTGGGGACCCCTTGAGGGGCTGATATCCAGAACTCGGCTAAAAGAGAGTCGTTGAACCTGAAACTTTGGCATATTACATAAGTCCACATAACGACTTTGTGTACCAATTTTAAGCGAAATCGGCCGATCTTCATTTCCAAGTCTGCTCCGGTCTCTCAGGCAGAAGCTCTCAAAACAAAACAATTACGGCAGATCTTACTACAACCCAGGGGAGGGGATCCATTCACAAGCACTTTACTCTTTGTACCACCTCTCGGTAGGGGATATGATTTGCGCGTATATTCGAGGATTAAAGCTATTATGTATTAGTATCACCCAACTAGTGGACTAATGCAAATCCTGCATTTTGATTGGCTACGCTACTAGGGGACTATTAGTAATAGTCATCGAGTAGCGNGGAAAATTCAGCCAACTTACTAGGTGAGGATTGGGCGGGTTTGAAGTGTTTACACACCTAATTAACAATATCACATTTTGAATTTCAAGCAGATGTTTTAGTGTATTTTGGCAAAAAGTCCAAACAGAGTGCTATTTTCACTACAAAATTTCGCGGGAAATATTTTAACATACTTTTCGAGACCATTTACACCGACATAATTTAACTAAACTGGTTGTTGATAAAATAATTACATTCCTTGATGAATATTATGTTGTCATCCCAGAACTGGCTATTTGAAAAGACACGACTGTCACCATTGCACCGGAAAGGTCAATTCCATGCCACTGAGAACTAGGAACCAAAAAATTCTTGATCTAATGTGGAAAGTGATTAGTTTACATCATAACCAGTTAGTAATACCTTATTGTTTTATGAGGGAAACATTTCATGATTAAGCATTGTACGAACACACAAGCTTATTTGTCAATCTGATGTCTTTCTAACGTCAGCATCTGTAAATAAAGATATATGAAAGATGGGTTGGTATTTTTTCAATTTATTTCAATCAATCAATCCATTGTTATTTTGAAACTGGTTATTACCACTAAACAATGGACGACAATTGAGCGCAATTTCGAGAACATTTTA